TATGATGAAATACGCACGAGTTGATTACCAGCAGGAGTATATCGATACGTTGTGGTGTGAATTCCGTATTGATCCCACTGATCAGGGTGACTTCCGGATCTCGCCCAACCATCTGCACATCTGGCCTGGTAGAGAATTCATGTTCATCGCCCTCCCATCTCCCGACAAGTCGTTTACCTGCACGCTGTTTGCTCCTGCGGCGCACTATAGCAAGCTAGAGCAATCCCCCCAGCAGCTGTTGGAGTTCTTTCAGACGTACTTTCCAGGAGTTTGTCCCGAGCTCATCGCACCTGAGGCACTTCAGCGGCAGTTTTCCGAAAATCCGCATCTCCCCCTGATCAGCATCAAATGCAAGCCGCATCACTATGGGTCGAGTGTGGTGATCATCGGCGACGCCGCACACGCAGTGCTGCCGTTCTATGGCCAGGGTTTGAATGCCGGCATGGAAGATGTCCGGGTCCTTTTTGAGCTACTCGACCAGCACGGAGTGTACGACCAAGACGACAGTCAGGGAAGAGACTCTGCTCGAGCCGCGGCTCTTCAGGCGTATACGGACCTCCGGGTGGCTGACGCGCACGCGATCAACGATCTGTCGAAGCGAAACTATCTCGAGATGCGTTGGGGTGTTACTTCTCGCCTGTACAAGATCCGTAAATATATTGAGGAGACGTTGGACCGCTATGTCCCTCAGCTGGGCTGGCGGACTCAGTATTCGCGCGTCAGTTTCAGCAACATGCGGTACTCAGAAGTGGTTCTGGCAGCGGAACGGCAGGGTAGAATCCTCAGCATGGGCGTGACTGCGGCGCTTGCTTCCGTGACGATTGCAGCGATCGGGCTGGGAGGAATGCTGGTCTGGAAATATCCCCGCCAGTTCACGCCTCACCGGCTGTTGACTGATCTGTCGATGAAGCAGTTTTTCAGGACTGCATATACTTGAGAGGGGAAAAAAAGTACATGACTGACAAAAAAAAATCGACTCAAAAAAGGGAGGAAAATGACTGAACAAAAATTGCATAAGTGAACGAATGCATGATAGATGTAATATAGCTTTATAGCTAAACCCAGTAGGGGAAAAAAAGTTCTCATATTAATATGTATATATTTCCATAAGACTTGATAAGGATTTCTTCTTCTGTTCTGTCTGTCGAAGCAAACGATGAAGATAGGTGGGTTTATACATATATTTGACAAGGAAAGACCACCAAAAAAAAGACGGTGATTAATAAAAATCATAGGAATCTACATTTATATGCTCAAGACTCTACCTAGGTAGATGGTCGATTAGATTCCATTCATGATTTCCTCCTCCTCCTCCCTTCCTTTCTTTCCTTGTGTCTCAGATGGTCGTTTGCTTGCTTGCTTGCTGCTCGCATTCATCAGTGAGACCGTGAGAACACTTGTGACATAAGCTACTACCAGGTTGCAACACATCGATCCAACCTAAATAGCTACGATTATTGGCTGAAGCTCAAAGAACATTTATTGAGTAATTTCACTTGGTTCTTCTTTCTCAGCAGGGTAATAGTTTTGTGGTTGTCTGAGAGAAGAGAAACAAGCAACCTGCATTCATGTGGGCAGTTACGTAGACTTTCTTTAAGTTTTATCTTTTTTTTTAATAAGAGGAAAGATTAGACAGAGCCACACCACTAGGAATGGGCTGATGTCCTCTGAATGGAACAAGTTTATCACGAAATCAAATTAAAAAAAATGAAAATGAAAAAATATATTCCGTAGCGGGGAATCGAACCCCGGGCTGCTGTGTCCTCACCCTATGAGGGATGAGAGACAGCGATGTTAACCACTACACCACTACGGACCTTGTTGATATTGTCAACCAGGAATGTGATTTATTTATCAATCTTATGTAATTCTTGATTGAGGATGTGATGGGATAAAACCGTAAAATCTGTCTGGGAGGGGGAGCAAGGCGGTGACCCCGATAAGAAAGAAGAAGAAGAAGAAGAAACAATGAGGGGAAGGAAAAAGAGAGAGAGAGAGAAAGGCAGAAAACTCCTAATGTATATACGTATGTACAGGACAGTACATATATAGAAAGCCATATAGAAAGCCATACACATGCCCTAGTCTTATATCCTCCAATACCCCGACGCATGACCATTATTGGCCTCAGACACAGGGAAAAAAAACTCTACAAGTGCCTCTTGCTTTATCATTTACAAAATTGTCCGTCTCCACAACAACAAGATGGCCGGATAGTGTAGTTGGTCTATCACGCATCGTTAACATGCGAGCTTGATAAAAGCTCGGGTTAACCCGATGAGGTCCTGGGATCGAAGCCCAGTCTGGTCATCATTCTTTTTTCTTTTTCATGGTCCTCGGTACTTTTTTTCCTTCGGAATTTTTTTTGGTTATTTCTTTTGTGGCGAATGGTGGGGAATGATGGGTATGGATAGTTATCCGTGGTGTGGCGGGGATTTTACATAAGCGGGGTTTGTAAGTAATTTGAACGGGTTCGGAAATTTCGCTGGTGGCGATTATCATGACCTACCTATTTAGGGCATGACTCGATGAATTGTATATCAATTAATGCAGTAAAAGTGAAAGAGAAACTTCCCTGTTAATGATATGTCTGGATTTTTTTAATGCTGTATGTAAAATAAAAAGAGATATGAATAGCAATCTAATATCCCCAGTTTCGTATTTTGGTCCAGCATTATTCACTTTTTGCTCGGATATATATATATTATATATATTTTCGTAGGACATCAACGGTAAGCAGCTCAGAGTGTCAACTTTCACAATAAATTAGCACTTCGCCGACCTTCAAAAGAAATAAACAATACAATCTAGTAAGGAGAAACATATCCCACATGGGTTCACCCCTCGTTCCATGACAGTTTTGTCTTAATGACTGTGAGCCTCGAGAATTCACTCAAGCGATAGTTCAGAGCGACTCCATCCGGCCGAAAGACACGACGGCCCGTGACTTGACGACGACTGTCTCGTCAGCGACTACCTTTATCGGAGTGACATAGCAAGCATTTTTTTTTTCGTTTTCATTTGCGTAACTTTTCTAGGGATGTCAACGATGCCAACAGACCTATATCATCGAGCAGTATGACAAGCAAATCTACCTTGTGGTTGATGCAGTAAAAATTGCTCCTCCTAGCTCATGGCCTCCATCACGGTTTATTCCAAGGTGGCACCAAAGATTGGCTCTGGCTTTCGTTGGCAGTGGCAATGTCCACTCGCCGTCACTATTAGGCAGCCCAGCTTCAAGGATGAGAGAGCCCGATTCTCTAAAGCACTATGTTAGCTGACCACGTAGTTCTTGAAAAGAGAAACGGTTGCAACTCGCTCTGTCAACGAAAAGATTCCTCTCTAGAACAACAGTCAGAGAAATACGGTTGTTTCCCGGAGCGATTTAAGTTAGATTGAAGAACTAGAATAGAAAGCACATATCTTCAAGATCAATGTGAACAAAACGAATACGAGTTGACGTTTGATATAACAAAGCAATAATACATAACGCTATAAATGCCGAATGCTAAGGAAATATCCGACCAGCAAACAAGAAATGACATCAACGCTAAACAGCAGATGTGCACACATATCGATGAGGTCCTTGGTGACGGAACTCGAAGCAAACAAGTGCAGTCACATATCATCCATCTGGCAGCGAGGCGATATAGAATCTCAAGATAAACCAAGGCCAGAGGTAAAGCGATTTCCAAAGCCAGGTGGACATGCTACCAAGCTCCTCAACCGCAGAAGTGTAATGCTTCCAGGTAGCAATAGGAACCTCTCAGATCAACCAATTTGCAGCGAATTTGAGCTCACTGGGCAGAATGTTTTCAGTCTGTTTGATGGACCAGGAATTCAGATATGGTCCGAAGCTGTGCTGTTTCAATGATCTGTCGGATGAAAGCCAAAACAATTCCAGCCAACCCAGGGACGGAATTCAATAGGTCAACTCCACCCACGGGAAGAATTTCCACTGGGTCGGTTTTCATGGTTCCTTGGGGTGTGACGCCTCTTCTTCTATATGGACATCAGGCTTCCTTCCTGTTTCCTTTCCATGGAAAATAGAGCAACAGCAAAACAGGGCTATCCAGCGGCAATATTGTGTATTTCCCTCGTTATTTGTGCTCCTTCATGAGGTCGGTAATCTGGCCTTACGGTCCTTTCGGTCTTGAATCAGCTTTTCGGTATCCGTATAAAGACGATCCAGGTACTCCATGGCGACAGCATCCTTCAGAATCTTTGCAACCTGGGTTCCGGCGGAAATAAGCTGGAGAATGTTGCGGTCATCCTTCACGGGTCTCGACTGATGCTTGGCAGCATGTCGCATCTCCAGGGAGTTTTCCAATACGGTAACAAGCTGTTTTATCTGGCCATTGTACAGTACCCGGGCTGGAATCCGACGCTTGGTGGCCAGTCTTTTCAAAAGATAAACCCACTCTGTCCATTCCCGGTCCGCTGGAACCCTCACCTGTCTTTTGTCCGGCTCGATGGGGATCGGAAACTGATATCTGGCAACGAAATTGAAAGCACATTGGGATAGACAGTCATTCACTTTACACAGGATGTCATCTTGCTCCGAAACATCAAGATGAGTAGGCAAACTAGGCAACTCCCGGTCCTGGGCTGCGATCGTTCGCGGTGATGGAGGATCCAGAAGCTGATGGGGTCCATCAAATTCATCACGATTGGACGGCCGTCTCTGGGAGTGGTATTTGACTGTGCCCCTTGACTTGTCTCCATGGCGAGACTTGGCCATCTCCACGGAGTACTCTGATGTATCCAAAGACCTTGGAGACTGCGGCTCCCGCATGACGGAATCTGGAGAAACCCGGGTTGGCGAATCCCACTCCGTATGGACGGAGACTGGACGCGGTGGCGGGCCAATGGGGGCTGGAGGAACATTACCGGATACGCTGGAGTAGCGCCTATACCCAGGGGCAGTAGGAGCGGGAATAGGATTGTAGTAAGACTGGTAGTTGAGTTGACTGGCTGCTTGTGATCGTATGTCCGGGAAATTTTGACCTGCTGGGAAGCTGCGAGTTCCGCTATAAAGGGTCAGGGAGCTCTCAGTGGGAGGCCTAAATGAGGTTGTACATGAGGAAGATGCTATAGTATACCTTTGCTGATAAACTAGGGGAGCGTTTGGAGGGCTTCCATAGTAGGGAGGCTGAGAAGAAGTCGCACTAACCAGTTTATGTGAGCATGATTGGAAAAAGCGGCACGAACACTCAGTCCTCACCTTCGGCGGGGAAAGTTCTCGGGCCCTGTTGTAATGGGGTAATAAGCTGGGTCCATTCGTGACGATGTTGTTCCTGACAGTGGATGAAAGTTCACAGGCAATGCCATCAACCTAGGAGAGACAACCGGAGACATGGATTATAGTGGGAGAAGGAGATACGAAGAAGGCGAAGATGGACTCTTCGCAAGAACCCGGAAGGTTATTTAGCCAGAGGGAAAGCACAGAGCCGGAGGTCGAGTTTTCATATATAAGCAGCACCTAGATATTGGTTTGTAGGGGGATCAGGGAAGGCACCAAGAGTAAGTGCTGACATCCAGACAGTCAACAAACAATCCTGTCACACCTAGTAGTTTATGGGATAGCTCCAGAGGGGGCTAACGTTGCCAAAGCCAGACTATGGCGTATGTACATACACTATGTCGAGCTGAAAGTGGATTACGAGCGTCATCGGGCCACGAGGAAAACATCCTTAGGTATCTAGCAGCCTGTTCGCTTGACCGGCCGTTTGACCGGATCAACGCACCGCTATTATGCAATCTTGGTCTCGATACACCTCCGGAGCCAGTGAAAAAAAAAACAGTTCGAATGGTTATGAGGGACGGGAAACCGAACCCCTGTCCACTCAAGTGCTGTCTTAGCTGGGAATGCCGAGGTTTTCCAGCAGATTCCCGACATCGTACCAGGAGGAACCCGGGAGAGTGAGAGCATCTACCCACATCGATTGACAAAGTAGACGACAAGTTGCCCCCAGGGGCCTAACCGGTCAGGAGCAATGGCTTTGGTAGGAGCCCGAACAGGTCGCTGTTGCATAGTTTTTGGGCAGCAATGCTAAACAATAGATACCAAAGGGATACCATCCGGTCCAATAGACACCCCGGGCTGCCATGTCTCTCACGGCAGAGAAGACGAACTGATGAGATCCGTTGGCTCCGGGAAAAACCCAATTTCTGCAGAAGAAATCTGTAGAAACCCACATATCTTCATGTCTCCGGCAATTGAAGCCAAGATCGCGCGTTATCGGACGCCAGACGTAGAGGACATGACGTAGCGAAGAATACCCTCTAGCCTTAGGCAAGCTGCTCTAATATATCAATATACAGTCAATATACGGTCGCGACAGCTGCACTTATTCTGAGTATCTCTGTTGAAACCGGTAGATTAGTGTCTAGAACCCCAAGTTAAGTTTATCCAAGCTCTGCTCGGAATGTCATAACAAGAGCTCCAGTGCGGGTTCGGGTGGGACCATTTCCCGTGGCTTTCGGGTCCAATCAGCAAAACCATGCTCGGAGAATGGGGAACTATATGTACTTAGCTAAAGCGTAACATAGGAAAGTCACTATGCCAGTGAGATTTTGAAGGATCAAAGTGGACCGTGGAGAAGGGGACGGAGCCGGATCTTCAGCTGTGCCTGAACGAGCCCTGTGGGCATTGGGCATAAATGCGTTGTGCCCCGTGGCTTGACGCCCAACTAAATCTCGTCGCGGGACGTTCAAGACGGAATTGGCCAATCAGAACCGTGATTTCAAAAAGCTGTGACGTATGGAGTATGTATGCGCGATCGCCTGCTCTGGAGAAGTCAAGCTTGCGCGCAACAGCATGAGGCAGTAACCGGGCTATTGGTTCCCGAAACAGAGGAAGATTGCGTATTCTCGCAAAATGAGACGAGAGATTTGGGGAATAATGCCGTGAATGGGGAATAACGGAGGAAGGCCCCATCAGCGCATGCTTGCCCGAAGTAGGTGCTTATCCTTATCCAGCACTTAGGGTTTAGGGTTCCTTCTGCCGATATCTTTTGGCAGGAACAGCTCTCGGAGAACACAGTAGTAGTAAACTCGGATTCCTGTACCCGAATTAAATTGAATAACAAATGAGACCGAAAAAAAAATTATATGTACAGTACATATGTCTCGTGTGTATCCAGGATGACAAGATCTGGAGAAGATCGGCGTGGGAAAGCTCCCAGACGCCGTGAATCGCTGCTCAAGAGCCTCGGCTCTTGCAACCAAAAGTAGAAAGACAGATTCAAATTTGGGAAAGGCATGATCAGTCATCAATCATTTGCACAAATGGAACTCTGGGGTATCAGCGCCAAACAGCTGTTGAAAAATCCATCTTGCTGTGTCACAGGATGGAATACTACACAGGGTCAGTCCTGTTTTTTCTTAGCCGCTTCTGAAGATTTTGTCGGTCGCTTGGGTAGCTCGATACCCAGCCGACGAGCATAGTCCTGAAAGGATAGTGAGCCCTACAGTGCACCCGAGACAATACTCCGTCATGAAGCTTACCTCGCAGCTGAGACGAATACCCTCCTCAATACCTACTCGAGGCTCATACCCTAGGATCCGCTTCGCCTTCTCTCCGCTGGCGTATCTCATATGGCACGCGTCCTTGACACTTCCCCGGCTCAAAGTGGTTTTGCTGCCGGTCAGCCAGGTGAAGTATTCTGAGATCAGACCAGCCACCCATGCCAGGCTTTCGGGGATGTGGACGGTGAAGGGGGGTATGTGCCCAAAATGCGCCCATATTGCCAGGCAGAAGTCTCTGAACGTGATGGGTTCGTTGTTCTGGATGAAGAAGGCCTCGCCCGCCGCAGTTTTGGACGTGACCAGGTTCTCCGCAGCCAATACGTGCGCATCAGCGACGTTTGTGACATAAGTCACGTCCCACATATTGAACCCATCGCCCAGCACCCAAGGGGTCTCCCATTTGGCGATGCAGGCGTGGATGGCTGGCACCAATTGGTAATCGCCGGGCCCACAGAGCACCGAAGGTCTGAGGGAACAGGTGGCCATGGTGCTGCTGGATGCCTCAAGGACAAGTGCTTCTGCAGCTGCCTGAAAAGGATCATCAGTCATCCCAACCCACTTTATCCCTAGTGGTGTAGGGGCGGTTGTGGGACCTTAGACTCGCCGTATATCAGCGACGACCGAGATGTCGGCCAGCTTTCATCAATATTGGCATATGGGAGGCGCATGTCATCTGTAATCGCACAGCAACTGCTGGTAAAGACAAATGCCTGAACCCCCGCCTTTTTGGCAACTTCGAGGAGGATTTTGGTTGCCTCGACATTGACTTTCCATACTAGGTTTTGCAGTTTTCTCCCGAATCGCTCGCTCAGCACGGGCACGATACCTGCCGTGTGAATGAGTACAATGGGTCGAACTTGGTGAATTGCTTTTTCGACTTCCTCTTTGCATGTCACATCCACCTGGATAAACGATGCATGCGATGGAACCACGTGCGTAGGACCAGGAGGGTTCTTATCTATGATCGTGATGGCACATTGGGGGTATTTCTCAGCCACCGCTCTGGCTATCGCGGAGCCGACGAAACCACAGCCGCCTGTTATAAGGACGTTGGTGAGCACCATGGCACTTTTTTTACTGGCAAACGATTTCTGGTCACTTCTTTTCGTGACCGGAGGTGGTGTCTAAATGGAATTATTAATCTCGTTCAACTAGAGGGCTGCAGTGCAGCTGCAAGTATGGGATTGAATGTAACCGTTTGTCGCGAACCCCTGGACGGGAGGCGGGATTGGCCCGCCGGCTCGTACGCGTGTAGTCGACGTACTCGGCGAATCAGATGACTTCCGATGCAGCACCTGACCCTGCTCGCATGTCTACCGTTCGCATAGAGGAAGGCCTGAAGACGGAATATAGTAATTAAGACAGTAATTACCACTGACTGCTTTTTTGGACGGATCTATATCGAAACGTTTCCGTTAGCAGCTTATGGAAGACTATACTTAAGATTCCAAGTGAAAATGCAGATTCAAAACAAGCTCCATTTTACATGGCAAAAAAGACACTGCCTGCCATCACAGAGTATAAAAGAACCAAAGATACTATACAAAAGCCCGGACCATTATATACCGAAGCCACCAGATGGGAGATGCCGCGACCGACCAAACTCCTAATCGATGCAAAGGACACATGATTATCGAGAATGCCTAGCGTACCCTGCACAAAACAAGGCCTCCCACTTTCTTTTCCACACATTCTCTCGCTTCCATCAACCCTTTATCTGTCGACAGGAATAGCAGTTCGCCAGGCGATCGGAGACCCTCCACGTATCCGCTTTTCTCCCCACGGATGACTTTACGAAGACCGGGAACGTCAATATGGATCCGCCGCTTGGGCTTGCTGACCAGGCTCATCTTCCCCAGAACCGGCTCACTCTGCCAGTATTTCAATCCCAGCCAAAGTCGCCTGGACGCCACATTGCTCTGAGTTACCGGTTCCACTCCTCCTTCCTCATCGTTCACCGAAGGCTGTCCCAAAAGGAGATGTTGTGGAGGGGGTTCTGGTCCACCACGAACGACGGCGGAAATCACGCCAGCATTCTGAAGGGCCAAGCACAGCTTCAGGTGAAGCTTGGTATGCGGTATCGAAGTCAGGGCGAGACGTGCCTTGGTGCAATTGTTCAGATGCGAGCACACGTTGGCAAGGTGGACCAGAGACATTTTGTTCTAAATTTCCGACCAGGCGAATTGGCCCGGGGGACCACGATGACAAGCCAGAGACCAGGATTGGTATCCGTTGTCTGCTACGACATCATCCAGGAGTTAGCAACAGCTGCATTCCAGACATGGGAAGAGGACGGAGTCCTGCCATCAACAAAAGACGGGAGCTTAGTCGTACCTCTCTGTAGCAAGATTATAGGTCCTGATGTTCCTGAGAAACCATAGATGATGAACGGGGGCCACTGGACGACTGCTATCGGGATGCTGGTATCGCAGTGTTTTTGGCGATGAAAATTCCGGAAAATGATGCTGCCGCTCCGGCGTCCCGAGTCACGGGTTCTGGCCATCCCACAGGGTAGGTGATTGGTCTCCCGCCGTCCCTGGGCGGGGCAGGCGATACGGGCAATCAGCTGCCAGAACGCCCATCGCTGCTCTCTTCAACCATCCGCATTGCAGCTTTAGCCGCCGGGGGGCTTTTGGTTTGTCACAGCCTCCAGTGAGCTGTGCCTGTCCTCGCGGTATATATAACCTGCGAGTCTGATCTGTGTGGTACGTACTGCGTTTCTATTCTGTCGCTTCTCTTGGTTTGGATTCCCCTCTATACACTGTTCTGGGTTCAAATCTCCAGCTAACTGGCGCCATGCCTCCCTTACCTGGTGAAGATCGTATGCTAACAGTGTAAGTTGTCTTCTTAGGAGAACTCTAGGAGTACTAGCACATCCAATTGACCTGACCTAACCTGACTCCAGCTATGCGGATGTCCATTACTACTTCACTGCGCCAACGCCGAAACCGCTCCACCACCGATTCGATAAAGGATCCTATCTCTATATCTACCACGACCCCTCGCGGGGCAAGGCGAGGATAGAAATTGCAAATAACCCGGGTACCCCTGATCAGGATGCTTTCCATGGAGGTCAGACGTGACGGGCCGTTCTGTCTAAAAAGAGCTATTGAAAGCTGATGAGGCTTTAGCGTTGGATCATGTCCATTTGCGGCACTCAACCAGATTTCCAACCCTGTGTACCCTGACGGTCGATGGGCACGCTCAAGACTCGCCGGTGTCCTCACACAGCCAGACCTCTGGAGATCAGGCCCAATGGCTCTTACCCAGTGCGGATCCTCGTGATGAGGGTCAACGTCTGCTCCGTCTGCATACTCTAGACATCTACTTCTGGACCTTGGAGGATGCGAACCTGTTCCTTGATTCTGTTGAACGGGTGCTCTCGCGGTCTCAGATCGAGACTGATCGCCATCCCCAACAACCGACCGAAGCGGCAGTGAGCACGGTGGTGCAGAAGCTGGAGAACGTTGCAATCACAGACCCGGCTTATCAGAATGGTCAGACGCGAGATTCTCGGTCTGATTCTCTCTCAGCGTCCCAGCCGACTCCGCAGTCTGCGTCGACCCTGACGACAAACCCCGGTAGCCATGACGCAGTTTCCAAGGGATCAGAGTCGACGACAAATTATACCCCCCTGGCCTACAACCCGGCCGCCCCGGCTGCTCCAGAACCGATCAAACATCGGGAAAAGACACCTCCGCCAGCAGACGGTGCCGAGGGAACTGGACTTGCTGCGGCTGCTGCGGCGGATCAAGGCCATTATTATGCCCATTCGCAGGCTCCAGGTAGTTTTGCGCCATCCGTAGGACAAACACCTGGATACGCAGTTCCTGGGACATCCCAGTCTGGCTACATGTCCCCGCCACCGAGTGCAGGGTTGGGCCCTGGAGTGTCCCTGAACCATGGTCACACTGGAGCCCCATCTTTTGCTGCCCCAGCCACTTTGAGCAATGCCTCAACTCAACCTGGAGCGATGTCGTTTGCACCACCGCCCCAGGACCCCAATGCACATCTCTATGGACAACAGTCCTATGGGACTCCACTTGCGCATCACCAGTACCCTCAGTATGCAAACTACTTACCGAGTCACGCAGGAGGTCACGGCCCTATTGGGGGATATTCGAATTACTCTTACAGCCAGCCAGTGCAGCAACATCATGACCCCTCAGGAAGCGAATACGATATCCACAGACAGGTTTACCGGCCCACTGAGGCAGAGGCGATGAGTCATGCGCAGAAACATGCGAAGCAAGCCATGAAGAATCCGAACTCGCGGCACCACCGGCTGGAAGATAGCGCAGCTCGGGTAGAAAATAAGGTTAACGGGTTGCTTAAGAAGCTTGAGAAGAAAATTGGATAGCCGACATTTAACTTGTATATGAAGTGCTTACCATTTCATTATTGTATGACGATACCCGTCAAGTCTCTTTGTTGCTCTTTTATGTGTCATCTTCCTTAAGCAAGTATCTACAGCGTGTCGTACATATGATCCTTCTGCTTTGTTCAATTTTCACGTTTTGTCAATTAATCATATGAGTTGCTGTCCGATTTATATAAACAAGGCTGATGAAGCCTTTATACACGAATATTAGAAGCTTCCCGGAAAGTAAATCAAGTCCATAGTCTTAACAATGTCATCGTCATCATCAATCGTCGTCTCTATCAAGCCATGATTAATCCTTCAATTCAAACCTAAACCTCTTCCTTCTGCTGTACGGGCGGAAACAACCGCGGAACACCGGGATACTCAGGTTCCCACAGTCTGTCCTCCCAGAACGCCTCGTCGGGCCATTCCTCCTTCTGGATCGTCTTCGCGACCTCTTCGACCTGCGTCCACATGCGAAGGAGGTTCTCGCCGACCAGCATCCTGGCGTGTTCGTCGGAGACGCCGCGGACAAGCAGCCGTGCGATTAGATTCGGCCATTGGGTGACGTCCTGCGTAGTACGTCTATTGTAAGTATTTACAACAATTGCAGAAGGAGAATGAAGGGGAGGTAGAAAGTAAGTGAGCATACATCAATCCCCTTGGCGACATTCACCGTCCCGTCGAAATCAGACCCTAACCCGACGTGCTCCCATCCAGCCACGTCTGCGATCCAGAGGATGTGATCGACGACGTCCTCGACAGTCGCCTCCTCAGGATGCTCGATATTCAGGAAAGGGGACACAAAGGGCACCATGACGATACCGCCGTTGGTCCTGAGGCTCCGCAGCACGTCGTCAGGCACGTTCCGCCCGTGCGGCTGGACGCTGTAGGCGCCCGAGTGAGAGAAGATGACGGGCGCGCGGGAAATGGCCAGGACGTCGCGCATCGTGTTGGGCGAGACGTGCGCCAGGTCGACCATCATGCCGAGCCGGTTCATCTCGCGGACGAAGTGGCGGCCGAAGGGCGTGAGGCCCGGATCTTCGTGGCTGCTTGCTGTCGTCTTGTTGAACGTCGTCGTCCAGGCCGTGCCAAAGGCGTTGTCGCAGTTGTGTGTGAGCGTGACGTAGCGCGCGCCGAGGTCGAACAGCTGGCGCAGCGCCCCCAGCGAGTTGCCTGTCTGATGCCCGCCTTCGATCCCGATCATGCTGGCGACCTTGCCCGCCTTGTGGGCGGCTCGGATGCAGTGGGGGTCGGTGCAGAGTTCGAGCAGGTGGCTGTACTGCGCGACGAGGCGCTTTGTCACGTCGATCTGCTCGAGGGTGTCGCGGACAGCCCACTGCAACAAATCAATAAATCAGCCTAGCCAGCTTATAGAAAAGAAACGAAAACGAAAGGACATTAGATAGGTCTGATCCTCACATTCGGCTCATTAAGCCCCGGCACAAACTTCTTCTCATCACCATCATCACCCGTTTTCGGAACCAAATCCTCCGGACAAGGCACGTAGACACTCCAGAACTGACCTCCCATAAGACCCTCGCGCATCTTACGCAAATCCGTATGAGCAGCCAACCTCTCGTCCTCAAAGTCATGGTCGTAGATCCTGTTCTTCAGCTGCTGGCGCAGCAGGAACGGGAAATCATTGTGCCCGTCGATCAGGGGCGTCGTGCGCAGAATCCGTCTTGCGCGGGCGACGTAGTCGGTTGGATCGATGGCTTCTTCTTCATTTTCTTTCTGTTGGCCTGATAATAGTGATGATATCTTGTTCCATGGAATAATATATTGGATCGGATCCCGGTCCTGGTTTAGCTGGAAGAAGGGGTTGTTGATGAAAAGGAAGGCGATGATACCGCCAAAGAGGGCTATCACGAGGGAGAGAATGGGCCATTGTGATGATGATGATGATCCAGGTCGATTCGCCATGTTGTTGTGCCTTGTTGTGGAAACAGTATGTACTCTCTCCTTCTCGAGACTTTTGTTTTCTTTTCCTGTCGTGTTCTCTATTTCCTTGACGACCTGACCTGACCTGTAATGAATCACCTTAATTTGTGCTTTGCTTCCAGTATTTAGATTCAGACTGTGTAACAGAAGTCGTAGGTTCTCAAGTCCATTATTCCATCAGTTAGGTCATATCAGACGACTAGATGAGCATTACCAAATTGAATCAATGAATTATCTTGTGCAGGTCATCCATTCAATTCAACTCAAACTCATATCAGACAAATGAAGAACGTTCAAAAGACACAGTTATGTTGTTGTTAGTAGTTGTTGCGCTGATAAACCAGTCGTCACTGCCGTGCCGTGCCGTGCGGAAAACAACTCCGCACGCTATCTAAGGTAGATAAGCAGTAAGATACTACCCCCACCTTCTGCAAGTGCAGTCCAGCGCACCCCGCAGAGAGCGGAGGAACAGAGCAAGTAGGCAAATATGTATATACAATAACTAACTACTGCAGCGAGATAGGGCTATCTACTGTGCATGGTACCCGGTTCTGAGTTGAGTCCTATCATATGTAGCAAAGATTGATTTTACAGCTACACTGTGAAGTAGACCTTCACGATTGGATAATCTTACTAATGCTGTAGGCTGTATGTACTGTACATGCACTTTAAGGAATGATCCTCGGTGGCACTACTCAAGATCTAATGAAAATCGACTCGACGAGTTGAAAGCTGAATGCAGTGGCTGCCATGCTTTACATGTACTCCGGCACTCCAATTACAAGGTAAAAGGTAAACTGCTAGAGAAGGGATTCAAAAGAACACAATCTGAATTGCCCCGCATCTGAAAATAATAATATAAACAACAAAGGCGCAAACGCATTAAAAAGGAGAAACAAATTCTTCGGAATACCAAATACAAAACAACAAAAGTCAAGAAGTCAACGACGGAGAGATCCTGCACCAAACACCAGGAACTCGCTCACACAGAAAGATAAGGATATCACCAACAAATCCAACAGTAGTACACCTCTGCATACAAATCACGAAGAAGAATCACCAAGAAAAAAAGTGTGTACTAAAAGTCTTAGGGACAATGAAGCAAATGATGAACAAGTTGATCGGAAAAAGAACAAGAAGAGAAGAAAATAAAAGGGAAAACAAAATGCCAATTTTGACAAGAAAAAAAAAGTTCAAACTCAAAGAATTTCACAACGGTCCAGCTATTCAATGCCAAGCTCAATGCCAATATGCATGTGTGAAAATGGAAGATATTTCCAATGCAACAAACTCAGACACCTATATCCAAACTATTCCGCGCCAACTTCCACCTCGTCCGACTTCGGTTCTGAGGCATCTAACGGCGCTGCAGAATCTCCGGCCGCGGTGTCCAATGGAGCCTTAGCAGGCTTTTCGGATGAAACTTCTGGCTGTGCTTCTGATGTCTTGTCTCCGGTCTTCTCCGCAGTCGCAAGCACCTCTCCGGATCCTCCCTCCGTGGCGTCTGCACCGGATTCCGTGATATTTGCCGTGGAAGATTTCTCAGAAGTTTCGAGTGCCTCAGAAGGTGTAGCGTCCACAGTAGCGTCCACAGTAGCCTTCACAATCGGTTCTGCAGGTGCCTCTTTCTCAGTTTCGACAGATGATTGCTCGTGCGATTCAATCTGGTTGCTAGCCGCCGCCTCAGAAGCCTCACTAGGAGCCTCTTTCGGGGCATCTTCAGTAGCGAGTTCTTTCGAAGACTCTTCACCCCGAACTTCTGCAGGAGCTTCAGAAGACACAGCGTCGCGAACAGTCGTAGTAACAGTCGTAGGTTCTGCTTTAACTTCTTCCAAGACCTTAACAGTGTCGGCAGCAGGTTCAGTAGCTGCCTTCTCAGACTCCTGAAGAGCAGTTGCGCTAGGAGCGTCAGCTGCTGGCTCCTTAGATGTGGGCTCCTCTTGGGACGGAGGGACTTCTTTTTCTGTGACAGCAACCTCTGGTTCTTTCTGTTTGACAGGTTCTTCTTTGGAAGTTTCCGCTGGCTGGGACTCTTTGCTTGTTGAGGAGGTCGGCCTGCTACGGTCCGCAGCCTTATCACCGCTCTTCTTCACAGGTTTTGGCACTGTTTTGGCGGCTTTTGGAGGGCTCCTGGGCTCCACCTTCTCGTGGACCTTGCTCGCGGAGCTTGCCGTTGGCCGCATCATCCGTGCCAAGAAACTCTCGTCAGGCGCCTTGGAGCCAGCCGTACTCACACGGGACTTAGGTCGCTCGTGGTTGACCTGGGTTTGGGCGGGCAGAGACTGACGCGATGGCTGTTTGCGAAGGCTCGACGCAGTAGGAGCCGTGAATCGTGACGGCGCCTCGTCTTTAAGAGTGGATGGCTTTCGGGAAAGTCCATGTGACGGTGTACTCGCACGCGGCGTACTCGCACGAGGTGTAGCCGCACGGCTGGGGGATCTATTTCCCATTTTGGCTGCGGAAGATGCAGTTGGGGCCGTCATCGAGGCAGGAAGACGCACAGGGCGAGTTGGAGACCTTGGCTGTGGTCTCGGGGAGGAATGCTGCGTGGTCTTCTTCGAGTTGTCTTGCGACGGGGTTCCAGAGCGGGCTGGCTTCGCTGGGGAGGATGTAGATGACTTCGTAGCTGCGACTTTCGCAGCTGCAGGCTTCTCCTGATTTGGGCTTCTGCGAGAGGTGGGAGTCTCAGAAGTTTTGGAGGTGGTAGGTGGTTTCTGTTCTTTGGTAGGAGATGGCTTGGAGTTGAGTTTGCTTGCGCTGGTGTCTTTAGCAACTGAGATGGTGGACGGACGCTTCGTAACAGTCTTGGAAGCTGGTGCCTGTCGATTCGAGGCAGTTTCCTTAGCTTTCNGCGGTGCTTCTCGTTCTTCTGAGCGACTGGAGATGTCTTCTGCACAGGTGTTGTGGGTTTCTGCGCCTCTGTCTTCTCCGGTTTGGAGGATTCGACCTGTGCACCGTTGCTCTCAGACTGGTTACCCAATGTCTTCTCCGTATTCGCTATGCCGTTTCCCTGCAATCCACCAGCATTCGGGCTAGTTCTCGTTGGGGATGTGCTTTGGGGCGTCTCGACCGATTTCTCCGCACTTTGCGTCGGCGACACTGTCTCTGATCTTGGGTTGGCATTGTCTTCTATGGCACTTTCCTTCAACCCAGAGGAGCTCTCACTGTCATTTGATTTGCGCAACACAGACGGAGGCGCATTTTGGATACTTTTCTCAACAGAGATGAAGCTAGCCCGCACTTTGGAGAGCGGCCTGCCTGACCCGGCATTGTCTGAGCCAGCCGGGGAGCGTCCACGGGAGGGGGGAGAAGTGCTGTTGTTCTGATTGTTCTCGAACTTGGCCAGGAGGCTGCGGACACCGCCTGAAGCTGGAGTGTCCGCCATGACTGCGGGGAGGTTGAAATCGCGATGTTAGATCAGATGCTGGCGAGTGTAGACTGAGGATGAGCGTCGACCATCGACCGTCGTCGAGACGGTGAAACAGGAGGAGACAAATCGATGGATCACTGCTTGTAAATTGCGACGAGTAGTAGCGTGAATGTACTGAGTAGAAGAGTGAAGTAAAATGGAGCGCAGGTCAAGCAGATAAGTGAGCTCTGGCAGTTGGATGAGTAATGGGCTAGGAGTCAACGCGTCAGGGTGACGTGTAGGGAAAGTGGTAAACAGTGGTAAGCGACTGCAGGGCGCAGCCTAGCTCGTAAGGAGTGCAGCAACGGTAGAGTGCAAGCTTGAGATAAGGACTGCCAGAAAAAGATGCAAGATGGCTAACAGCGCAGGACAAGAAGGTCCAGCGTGGCAGATGGCAGATGGGAGGACGTTGCGTTGCCTGGGGGTTTTGCAGGGGTCGCGGAGTAGTCCAGGCGGTTGCGGGCGGGACGGAGACACGGGAGGCCACTTAGGACGCCGTTCAGGGGCTCGGGAGATCCACCGCTAAGGAGCGAAATCCAGAGACTTGGAATTGGAATTGGACGGCAACGGCGCAGCCTTACCTTGTAGTCGCGTGTGCGCGTGCAGACTTTACTTCTTTCTTGCTGTCCTTCCTCCTTGCCTTTTTTCCCGGAAAGGCCTGCCTGCCTGGAGCCTGCAAGGGCTGTCCATCCCGTGTTGACGGATGAGCCCAGAATATCATCAATCCATCATCCTTGGTTGCTGATCATACAAAACTCTGATAATGTCAGGCCAGTATTTTATCTTATCTCTGGAATGTTCATTCCAAGCATGCGCAAGGCCGTGTCATAACCGTGGATTGATGACATCAAGTAACCTCGGCGCTGTTCACAATTGCCGACTGCATCTACCAGACAATCAACAGATGGCATTGTTCCAGAATGATAACACTCAAACCTGTACATCTTTGTCACCTGAAAAGAGTACTTTGAGACCTAGATCTGATGATGCCAATGTCTTATTTGTCTCCTGACTTTACTCTGTATTTTGCTACGAGAATGTTGAACCCGTTTAGCATTACGTTATCCAGCTGCCATTGACCAATCGGCGTCCAGTCTGTCTACCCCGGAGCACGCGTCCGGATCAATATTCTTCCATGATCGCATTCGAATAAAATGCCCGTCGCATCTCCGCAACCGCTTGGGTAGCTCCGAAAAACGGACTCGCCAGAAGAAAAAAAATCATGGCTGCCAGAACGCTGCGGATAGGTCAATTGCCCTCAGTGATGAATTGTAAAACGTTATATAAGTGATTGAAGCTCATATGATACTCGTGCAGGTCTTATTCCGGGAGACGGCATTGGACGGGAAGTGATCCCGGTATGAATACTCCTGTTTTCAAGTTGCTTTGTGCTTCGAATAAGAACCATATCATTGACGAAGTCGAATTGAGCATTACAGGCCGGTCGACGGATTCTGGAGGCTCTGCCCTCGTCATTGGGTCTCAAGTTCTCGTTTGTTGACCTCGATGCGGGATGGGATACCTTCAAGCGTACGGGAACTGCTCTTCCCGACAAGACGGTGGAGGTCCTGAAGAAGGAATGCGATGGAGCCTTGTTTGGAGCAGTCAGGTACGTAGGATCCGGGCATATGAAAAAATTTGTTCGACCAGCCGCTGATTGATGTATCGTTACAGCTCCCCGACCACCAAAGTTGCCGGCTACTCCTCGCCCATTGTTGCCCTCCGTAAGCGTTTGGACCTCTATGCCAACGTGCGCCCGGTCAAGACCACTGCCCGCGGTAGCGCCACGGGCTCGCCCATTGATCTCGTTATTGTTCGCGAGAATACGGAAGACCTCTACGTGAAGGAGGAGACCACGACCGAGGGTCCCAACGGTAAGGTTGCGGAGGCAATCAAGCGCATCTCGCAGCGCGCCTCGTCTCGCATTGCGACCATGGCCGGTGAGATTGCGCTCCGACGACAGAAGATCCGTGATGTCTCCCCCGCTACCGCATCCCGATCCAAGCCCATGGTCACCATCACCCACAAGTCCAATGTCTTGTCTCAGACAGACGGACTCTTCCGTGAGACGGCTCGCGAGGCTCTGGCGGCCGAAAAATACAGCTCGGTCGAGGTGGAGGAGCAGATTGTCGACTCCATGGTGTACAAGCTCTTCCGTCAGCCTTCTTACTACGACGTGATCGTGGCTCCCAACCTCTACGGCGATATCCTGTCTGATGGTGCGGCGGCACTCGTTGGAAGCTTGGGTCTTGTCCCCAGTGCCAACGTGGGTGATGGCTTCGCGATCGGCGAGCCTTGCCACGGAAGCGCTCCGGATATCGAGGGCAAGGGGATTGCCAACCCGATCGCAACGCTGCGCAGTGCGGCGCTGATGCTGGAATTCCTGGGTGAAGAGCCTGCGGCAGCGAAGATCTATGAGGCCGTCGATGCCAACCTGGACGAGGGCAAGGTGCTTTCCCCAGATCTGGGCGGGAAGGCCACCACTCAGGAGGTGCTCGAGGACGTGCTGAAGAGGCTGTAAGAAATGTTGATGCGTATGGATGCATAGATCAAAACATAGCCAGCGGTCTCTTCAGCTATGCGACAATGAAATAAAACTCGTACATGACATCAACATGAGAACAATATGAATATATATCTACTCCATCTATCCAGGTATGCAAGTTGTATGTCTAGACCGATATCACCCATAAACTTAACGCCCAACTTATAGAGGGTTGCAAATACGTCATTCCTTTCTCTCAGGGATGAAAAAAAATTTGGGAATTATTCGCTCAGGATCAATCGTTGTTATCGGGATCTTCTTCCCAGTCAAACTTCCCTTCCTTGCCATCTTTATGCCGGTCAATACCGTCTCTGATCGCGACCCCAGCAGTCGTTCTCTCGCTGAGTTCTTCCTTGGAGTCGTGAACGAGAAGGGTGAGGAGAACGACGAAGTAGACATCTCCGGTGCGTCTGTTTTTCAGCGTGTATCGCAACTTATGGTTCTTCTCGTCGATGTACTTGGCTACTTGTAGGTGGAAGCCAGGAAGGCGGAGGGTGAAATCTAAGATAGACACAGCATGGATGTTAGAGGAGGGCTAAACAGAAAAAAAAAGGTCGTTTGGAAGGAATTCCGAACCATTGAATCCCAAATAAGGGTTTCCAAAATCTATCAGGTATATCCTGCCTTCTTCGAACACAAACTTTTTTCGATTTCCCTCATCCAGGAAATACTTCCTTCGCTGGCCCGGGTCGTCAGGGATCTGGAAGGACTTCCGAACTTCTTTCCCGCTGCCCTCGGCGCCTTCCTCGACCACGTCACTATGCAAGTTGAGCACCTTACCTTTTTTCGCCGGGTCGATCTTGTCTCCGATGCGAAAATAGTTCCAAGATGATAAACCGGGACTGTACATGTACGGTTTGTCCGCGTAAGGGTCTCCGTCCAAGGCGGGATCGATTGCCCATTTAACGATGCGAAGCGCGGTGTTGAAGCCAGGGGGAAGGCGATCGCGAATGGGCCGTTCAAAGTCGTTTCCGAAGACAAGGTCATCACCCGACACGGTCTGTTTGGGGATGAGGGAGAAGCAGATTGAATACTGATCGTTCAGGTGGAGGTTGTGGGAGAAATAGCGGCTGGTCTTAGGAGAGTTGTTGGGCAAGCCTGGATCGTTACATTAGATGACCGGCCTGATATCGTCATGGTATAGTCATAGGGGCAGGTAAATGCGGATGTTACTGTACCGGTATAGCCTTGAATTCGTACACATACGTTGACGATTGCACGCGAGTTCTCGATTCTCAACGTCTTGTCTGAATTGACAGGAACAACCTGGTGCGTGGAGGGATGATATTCTGGCCCTGCCGTGACCTTCAGGCGATATTCGGTGGTGTTGGTGCCTCTGCCGGTTCCTCGCCACATGGCTGCAAGCAGGTTTGGGATGCGACAGGTACATTGACAAGAGTATATATAATAGAAGAAAAGAAGAGCTCCGGATCCTCTACAGAGGAGGACAAGAAAGATGCGGAGTGTAAGCTTGATACGCAGCTCTTATCGAGGGAACTAGGACTCAACTGCCTTCGGGCTGGAACGATCCACGGAGACCCGAAACCATGACGGTTTCTGTTCCTGTGGCGCAGAGGCCGCGTCAAGTCTCCGGCTTGTCTGAACGCTCCATCTTATGACAGAACTCGTCAAGAGATGGAGTGGCGGTTCCAGAACTGTTGTTGGTGCGGCGAACAACGTCATTGCAGCGGGAGATCAGAAAAGCTTCCAATTGGTCCCTGGAATTTACTATTTAAGGAAGATGACTAAAAATCCTAAAAAGGCAACTCGCGACAGTCTACATAGTCTTACGCTCTAAAGTATGTGATGTAAAGAGCAATATCACCGTAAGAGATATTCCTGACAACAGAAAGCATCGAAAATAAAAATTGACCTTGGCTTCAGTTTCAAACAGGGTTGGAGAACTGCTACTCCGTAGACGACAATTGTGTTGAGGTTTATCCGTGTCCAGCACAAGTGCGATTGGTATATATGGTGTAAACTGTTTCTGGCATAATAACCTTGTATAAAGGTTTCCAGGGTTTGAAACATGGGTTGCTCAGATTTGTGCTTTTTTGTTTCTACAGAAGTAGAGATGAACAGTGTCAGCAATGATACCCACTTCCTTGGTATGGGGAAATATGGCTTTGAAATTCCTTTTTTTTTTCGAATAAACAGTATCCAACTTTGATATGTATGTACAGCATAATGCATAATACCTAGCTAGTTCAGCCTCGTCCCAGAGGTAGAGTGACATGCTCATCACCATCACAGGAGTCATAACAGAAGAAACATATAGCTTACAGAGCAAAGGTCGATTGATACCTTATGACTGCCTTCAGAATAAAGGCTTCGTAATTCATTTTGCTAAATTTTTGGGGCCAAGCTGAGGTGTACAACGCAATGGAGAGGCTGCTTTATTTCCTGCGTCGAGCAGGTTTTCGTGCTCACAACATAGCCAGATTTCTATCGTCTATGTTCCCCATTCCATATCGCCTTTTTGCTAGATTCCTTTAAATATATCTTGAAAAATTCTAAGTTGAGGAGCTCTTTGCTGTGGGAAACATTCGATAATTGCTGCATTGGTGACTGATTGCAATGTGCAATGAATGAATGTCTTTGTCCACATTCACCTTTTGTCTTTATTCAGTCACATTTGCCAGCTCTCCTTTGTTCTCTAAACCAAACTGCCAGTCTGAGACCAGGATCTCTGCATATAAGACAGTATAATGTTAAATCGTATTGCTATTAACAGCCTCTTTACCACCTGGGTCTATAATTATTCCATTCTATTCACCTTATAAATATATCAATACTGTTACCATCCTTGTTATACAACACATTCACTTCCTTTAAATTACTTCTTTGTCTACTAAGTCCCCATAATACCATTATATCCTTCCCCAAGTCAATACAAGTTTCTATCGATATATTCACCAAAAATTTGTATTCACTGAAGACAAAGATGGCCCAAATTTCGACCCATAAATAACCCCTCCTTGCACCGATCCAGATGGATGTTCATTCTTTTCTTCTCTCACGAAAGCAACTGGTCTTGCAATCGTGACATTCCTACAGCTGTGCTGAAATCTTCAAAAAAAAAAACCTCTCCAAACCACTTACTTTCATTTCCACCAATATCTTCTCTCTTACTTTTTATCCTCCTGGTGAGGATGTCGCTGGCCGACTTTCCATTCGAAATCCTTCCTCGCGTCATGGAGTTCCTGCTGGTCAGGGACCTCCCGATCCAAACAGACTACATCACCGCAGAAGAAGACGGCACCGGCGGGCGCTGGCCTCTCCCCTTTCGAAAGACAAGCATCACCCGCAGCGACCTGGCGCCGCTGGCCACTTCGAAAGCCGTGAGAGAGGCAGCGTTGCGCATTTTCTGGAGAGAGAACACGTTTTTATATTGCCCAAGGTCAAAGGCAAACAAGAAGGTATGCTGCTATCCACTTTCAATCCCCAACCGTGGCTTGTCCTCTATTCGCTCATCTTGGTTTGACATTCAAAAAGACATGATGAACTGACATACGCAATTTCAATCCAGAACGCAATCCGTTTTCTTGCCCTGCAGACGGATGAAACAAGAAAACACCTCCGCCGCATGGAATCGCACATCTTTTTTCGAAGCGGCATATATGCGCCGGTGGGATGAGGAGCTCACGGCACGTCTGCAGCCGTTAGAGAGCATCTTCAAACGCCTGCCCAAATCCCAGCCGCTGAGCGTCCGACTCAGGCTGTGGAAGAGCGGCGAGCCTCTGCGGCTGCAGACATGCCGGTGGGCGCAGCTGATGGCCCTGGTCGATTTCGGGACCAGGGTCAAGTGGAGGCTGAAGAGGGTGGATCAGGCGACGAAGGCGACGAAGGCGAGGGTGGGTTATCTCAACGAGAGCAGGCAATTTTGCAATTTCCATCTCACGCAGAGGGTGGTCGATTTCTGTAGTTGGGCCTGAAGGACGTCTGAACCTGAACTCCTTCTGTGCGGGATGGGAATGGCAGAATTGCCTGCTCTCGTTGTGATCATCCATCGTCGCCTGGGGAAGATGTGAAGGACGAGGTGTTGATAATGAGGAATGTATCACGATGTCTACGATGTATGAACTATTATGCCTTGTTTGTGTATAATGATACAAGACTGAATGTGCGAGTTCCAAATCGCCTCCACACGTTTTTTTTTTCTCCTTGTCCATTCGCCGTCAATTCGGGTTTACGCCAATCGATGTGAATCACGGACGGTAGTAAAATCATTTCCTCGAGGTGGCAAGCGGGAGAGTGTCTGCATATAGGCTATCTGGCAGGATTCTTACTATCCGAGCGAAGGAGTTGAGATACCAGTCCTAGTCCCGGGCCCTAGACCCTAAGTAGATCTGCAGCTAACCTAAATGTCCAATTCGTCCCCAAGGTATTCTCTGACGTAAAATGTGGTTGAAAAAAGGAAGAAAAATTAAGAAATAATTTGATTATATTACATGCGTACTCCTGACAATGATTTCCTGGCTGCAGCCCTAATTACAAATATACACATCTGCTTGAAGGTGCGACTCTGACGAGATAATGATACAATGGGACAAAGGAAAATGATGAAAAAGGAAACATAGCTGTCTATTCTGCATCGGCAGCAACAGCATCAGAATTGGGAACAGGTCCATCCAAGTCAAAATCCGAGGAAGGCTCAACATGACAGCCGTCGCCATTATTATCCTCATTAATGTCGCTTTCCTCGGTCAGAATGCCAATCCCGCTGTCGAGCCTCTTCCTCCGGTTCTTGCCTCGTCCAATCTGGACGTTGGCAAACTTGTTCGTGCTCGCTCTAACGGGCGTCATGGGTTCGCTTCCAGGCAGGTGTGGTTCCGATTCAAGCTCGTCAGATCTGAGCTTCCAATTCGCGGTGCGGACCTTCGCGCTCCGGCTTTCTGCGTTGATGGCGTCCAGAATATTACGGATTAACCGCTCGCGGGCTTCAGTCTCCAGATAGATTCGATCTTCCAGACCCGAGTTTTTGCGACGCAGTTTGTCGATCTCCATCTTGGCCGTTTCCAGAGCGGTTGTCAATTCGGAGAGGCGCACGTTCAAGGATCCAACCTCTTGAGCGGCCTTCTGTTCCATCGATTCGACCACCTCCTTGCGTTCCTTCTCGAGGCACTCGACTTTGGCGATCAGATCGCAGACGCGAATCCGATTCTGCTGGACAAATTCCTGCAGTTCGGCAATGCTCTTCTCGCGTTCGGATGCGAGCGATTCGGCGGCATGTCGACTGTCTTCTTCAGCAGCAACCTTTGATTCCAAGTCGGAGATTTGCTGCTCGTACGAGCTCTTCAGGGACGCGTTTTCCGCCTCCAGCTTCGAGACAATTTCTTCGAGACTCTTGACCTCGTTGTGATATTTGTCCAGCGCAGCGTTTAATCTGTCAATCCCAATGTCCTTCTCCTTGAGTTCGCTTTCGAGTTGCTGCATTCGCATCCGTGTATGTAGCATATCGCCCGCAGACGTGTCGATAGTCTCCTCCAGCTGCTGGATCTTCTTCGACGCTGCCTCGTATCGAAGCAGGCACGTGTCGAATTGACTGCGCAAGGCCTTCTCTTGACTCATGAGGCTCGAGTGGCGCTTGCGCTCGTCCTGCAGGTCCTGCACCAGGTGTTTGACTCGCTCGACTAGTGCCCTCAGGGTAGCATGTCCGTTGTTCAGGCTCGCATTGGCAGTTTCTCCCGGCAGGGCCCGCTCGAGCTCTAGTCGAGCTGATCGGAAGCTCTGGCGCATTCCTGCGATGGTCTCATCCAGATTGGAGCCGGAAAACCCCATGCTAGAAAGCTCATTTCGTACCGTCTCCAGTGCATGACAAGCGTCTGAAGCCCGGGTGAGAGCCGCTTTTAACGTTGGGACGATCTGACTCATAAAGTCCGGCGGAGGTGAGGACGCTCGAGAAGAATGTGGACTGGCGTGGCTTGTGTGCGAGATCTGGGCTTGCCATTCATTGAAGAGATTGAGTTTTTCCCTTCTAGCGGCCTCGAGGTCGAGAGCCAGCGAGCGCATTTCGGCTTCATGGGACTGGTCTGGCATTGAAACCTGAATCGATGCGTCGATAGTCACTGGCTGTTCGTCATTGGAGAGTGACACATAAGTCGACGGCAGCTGTTCCGACTGATCTTGTGCTCGAAGAATGGGAGAGCTAGATACAGTCACCATGTCATCGGCGATGGTACTATCTTCAATCATGATGGTGTCCCCTTCGCCGATTCCATCACCGGTCTTCTGTTGGTCCGCAGATGTCGAGGCTTCTTCTCTCAGGCGTCGAAGTTCAGCCTCCAGCTTGCCAATTTTATAGAAAACGGAGGGCGTCGTCTCCCCATCGGCAATAAGGGTGTCCCCTTCCTTCGCTGCTTTGACAGCTTCCAACTCCCGCTTTAATGCAGCAAGCTCGGCCTCTCGTGCCTGTTCGCGTTTTACAGCCGCTCTCTTTTCCCGTTCGATCTTGTTAACTTCGTCGCTCAAACCAACCCGTCGAATTCTTCTCTGAGTCCGCTGGTCGAGGATCTGGCGGAGAGGAGTGAACTGGTACACGCGAGCCGGAGCCGGATTGCGCTCAATGGGGAATGCCGGGTCAAGGATGTTGTTTGTTTCTGGAAGCGGAGCCGATTGTCGTCGCGATCGGCGGCTCGGGGTTCGCATCTCAGGCTCTTCAGGGTCTTCAGGGTCCGGGTTTGATTCATCAAAGGACGTCCGCAGGAGTGCCGGAGTCAGTCCGGTGGAATCAGTCCCTGCCATGGAATTCTTCAACTGGGGACCCGGGTCTGAGAAGCGAACTTTCTTCCGTGGCTTCTGCGGCGTGGTCGCGCATGGTTCAGGTACCGCAGGATTCTCGACTGCGATCTGGGCATTCTTGCGGGTATTCAACCATGTCTTAATTGCTCTTCTGTTTGACAATTGGCGGTCTCGTTCGCGACGTGACGAGGAGCTGTGACTTCGCTTGCGACGCGTCGTGGCAGAGGCGTTTTCCGAGCCCGACACCATTGCCGACTCCAGTTGGCCTTGATTGAGGCCGTTGGTCTATTTTAGAATTTGTCTCAACACCGCTTTATTCCAATCTGCCATTCAGGCCAATTAGCAGCGCGTTCTGACTTGAAAATGCACAAAGCAGAGCAAGGCAGGAAAACACCAGATTCCAGATCAAGGACATCGGCGGACTTAGCAGCATGTCTGGGAGATCTCACCTCAAAATGCAAGACCAGCGATCGACCTAACAATTGACGTGGAACCAGTACATACAAGGTTGAGAAGTGCTAACAGCAAGTGAGAACTTTGAAGGGGAAGGTCGAATGACCCCGTGAGTTGAACAACAGAACGGCTGGAGAAGTCCTATCAAGACGCGATAAGGAACCGATTAGGATCCAGTTGGAACAGCCAGGCCTAGCGTTTAGAGGCTAAAGGCCTCCAAAAGTACCTATAATAAGGAACAGGAAAGACGTAAATAAACAATTCGACCAGACTTTTACGCGACTCCCAGAATCTTGGACTGAATTGAGGGAAATTCACGGCCAATAATTGATTTCAAAAATACGGAGAACACCACAAGAACATAAGAAGAAATGGATCGATTTATCATTAAGCTCACTGCTCGCAGGCAGCAGTCTCCATCAAAGCCCCATCTATTCCATAATTGCAGGCGGTCTTCTGCGAACATTGATCAATATTACCCGATTCGGAAAAGGTAAACAAACCCCGGGGTCGATAGCCGTAGCGCCATGTGGGGCGCAGCTGATCTATCGGAAAATGATGAGACATTGGTCTATTGTATTTTAGTGTGTTTTACGGAGTATTATTGTATTACTTGCTTGTTTTTTTTATTTTTTTTTTGACGTGACGCGTTTTTTTGTTCAGAATGGGCTGGGTGTCTTTGCATCTGGTGAACATGTGGGAAATGATAGCGTCTGCGGTAAACTAAGGGATATATGTAGGTTATTGAGCAGTAGTTCTTTTTTTTTTAAAAAAAATTCGGCGCTTATTCGAAAACTCCCATTCCTCAGCGTCGATTCTCAACGAATTGTCGCATGTGGGGGGCTTACCGCTGTATCGATCAACCCTATACACGGCTTCCACCTATCCCTGATCTCCCAATGGGTTTAGTAAATTGTATTTTTTTCCTATCATTTCCTCAATCTCTATCAACATAAAACCAAAGACTCTTTACCTCATCTTCTGATGTTTCTGCTGCTTCCTTCTGTATGTAAAGTTGAAATAACTCATCGTGTTTTGCCTTAACTTTGTCAAAGTCGAGCTGCGGTGGTACCCAGCCGTCTTTATCCGTGTGTAACAGTTCCTGAGTATATCCCCATAGCTTGTGCCAATCTCTATACCGATGAAGCTCCTGCCTGTGTTTTGATAAATCCTCGCACGTAACCAGGTAAGGACACGATTGAGGAAGGCCCATTTGGTGCCAGTTTTCAGAAATCTGAACCAGGGAGTCGCGGAGAGGTATTACACCATCCTTGTATGTTTTCTCAGAAGATGAAAACAGGTGACTGATGCTAGGGTCGACCCGAGTCAAGGCCAGGTACGACTCGAGATGATGCCTAGTAAGTGCCGCTTCATAACATTTTGCCAGCATTGCTTGGTTTCTCTCCGATATGGCGAACGCCTTCTCATCAGAGTCCATTTCGTCGAAGTTTGCAGGCAACTCTGGTTTGACCATACCCTCCTGATAGTTCTCAGGTGGGTTAAGAAACGTCGGCCACTGAACTTGCGTGAAAGCAGGCATGATTAAGGAGAACTGCCAGTCTATTATACCGACAATCATCGTCGGGTCTTGCTCGGAGACGAATATATTACCGAGGTGAAGGTCAGCATGACAGAGCGTTGGCTTAGAAAGGCGTTGTAGAGCAGGATGTGCTGCCACTATCGGCATAACTTTCATAGCAGTTCCCAATGCCTGGAGATGGTCATCTTTAGAGCCGTAGTGTGGGCCACAGGCAATAGCAGGTTTAGAATTTTGGATATGCCAAACTCCTCGGTTGGCCAAGGAGAGGCCAACGTCAGTCCCTGCGAAAGCTCGCTGTCAGGAAGGGCAAGTCTGGCGGTGTTTGGGAAGATTCAACTCACATGGACCAGCATGGTTCTCATCTCCAAATTGCGGAAACCACGAGTCATGATACGCCGGACCAATGCAATACACATCATCCACGGTTGCCTAGATGTCGGGGCAACGAGTCACAAAAATACAGGTTCCGGTAACCGGGAAGCTTTATCGAAGCCAGATCACTTTCCAGCCGCGCCAGATTCTGAATCAGTTTGAACCGACTCAACTGATCCATCTCGCCCCACACTTCTATTAATTGTCTGCCTGGAGATTTCTCCATGACAATGTATTCGGAACCCACAGGGTTTGAAGCATCAGCACTCCACGCAAGGACTTTGGAGACCGGAACAGACGTGTAGCACTTCACTGTAAATTAACAATATTAGCAATCCCGTTTCTTCAAGCGCCAGACGAACTTTACCGAAGTCCATAACAGCCGCTTCAGATGCGGTGCAATACTTTGGTGGTACAAGTTTAGGACACGGTATCTTTGCAATGACCTCTTCCCATTCTCCGCAGTCATCAATAAAGCTTTGTTGAAACCGCCCTCCATTTTATCAATCTTAGATATTGGCGAAGAAACCGAAGGCAGGGACGAAACCAGTGTGCAAAGAGCATCGACATCAAACCTGGCGTAGCGCTTTGCTGTTTCACGTACTTCGTTGACAAGAAATCGCCCATTTGTATATTCGAAAAGCTGTTCATACTGGACAGGCTCACCTAGAGGTAAAGCGTTCAGAAAAGAGCATCTATCCTGGGATTCACCAAGACATACCATGACAAGTCAATGAGATTCTCCTGGCAATGGATTTTGCTGGCGATAAAGTCATTTGAGAGAGTCTATTGCGAACCGCATTCATAGTCAAAGGAAGTTGTGGCACATTGTATAGCTCACTGGCATTGTACGTACAGCAAGGCTTTTGTTTATGTGAGAAGAAAGGATTCAAAAAGCAGCAACAACTGACGCTAAAAAGAGCGTCATTTCCCCTGACTTACAGACTATAGAGATATACTGTACTTAATCAAAATTCAAAACTAATGTATTCCCCAGCCTCAGCGTCAAGTACTTTGTCATCATCTATTCTTAGAGATAGTAATAGATAATTAATGGGTTCATCTGATTCATGTAATTGAAAAATTCTTTTTCATTTTCCAGAAATGAATTCCTAAAGCCCTAAGATACAGAGGTGTTGAGAAAAACCTCGATCCCATTCTTTTAAATGTATCATCAAACAGAAAGCGATGCGCAATACCTCATTTCTCGACTTCGTATCATCATTGGCGTTATTGGGTCATTCTGAAGTATTCACAAACAAAGGTCTGCAGCTCCTGGACACTGAACTGCAGTTCTGTCGCTGCAACGTTGGGCGGAACAACGTCGAACATCAAATCCACCGGGAGGATTAATGGGGCATCGGTTACACCCTGCAAGGTGAGAGTTAAGGACTGGACGCAGGTAGGACGAAGAGCGTTCTGTCCACGAATTGGAAATGGATTAGGCCTCATCTCCCAACGTTCAAGCTGGAGAGTTTTGTCGTTGCGCTTGACGTGGATAAGCAACACAAGACGAGTTTTCCCATTCGTCTGGGTCAGCCAGAAATGGGCGTCAGTTCTTAACTCCTTTATGGTCTCGCTTAGACCAACTTCCACGACGAATGAAGGTTTGTCAGTTACGCTGGTCCTATTGCTAGGCTTGTAGCTCTCATCCGGTTCCTTGGCTCTAGTGATTCCCAGCTGTCGTCCACTCCCCATTGATTTTAGATCATAACGCGAGATTCCCACATTTCGGCAATGTTCCTCGAGCATAGCTCGAAACTCTGTAAACGCCATATCATGGACGATGCTAGCCAGTTTTATGACTAGCCTTTCATGGCTCTCGTCGTAGTGCAGCCGCATCTATGGAAGATCATGGCGCTTCTTGTCTATCCATTCGATAACTTGAGGAGTAATATTCTGCGCGGCGATGTACTGACGTCCATGTCCATCTTGCCAGGCCTTGAGTGATTCCTCCAGAAACTTCCTGAAATTGTGATAAGTCGTAAAATCGTGTCGGCTTCTGGGCGGAATTGAGTAATCCGCAAATATATTATTCGACATGGCAATGCTGCTCCAACGAGCGACAACATCGGATCAATGAATCGAAACCAAGCTGACGGCAATCAAGGTTTGAGATTCACTTCCTATGGCGGTAGCAGCTCCCAGAAAAGCATGTTAAGTCTTCGCGCAGAGCTAGCCTTCGAATTTCAGCCAGAGTGACGGAGTGGGAAGATACAGCAGGATCCTACCTTTGAAGAGGAAGAAACTTGTTTAACGGTGCAGGTGGTATCGTAAAGAAGATGAAAGTTAGGCTGCTGGTGGGAAACTAGAATGGAGTTTCTATAGCACCTGTCGCTTAATGGGATCGTTTCAAGGGAAAAACAGCGACCTCAGAGGACGAAGAATGGGAACACGGTACGAGTGGGAGTCAAGCCAGACGCGGTGTGAGGTGCAAAGAAGAAAAGAAACGATCGAACGACGACTGGTGAGACGCCTTAGCAGGCAGCAGTTAAGCGGGAACATCCCACGAGTGAAGTAAGTCAATCATGCAGTGAATGGTCTAACCCTTAACCAAGGTGAAAGCGTTGGCAGCGTCATTTTTCCAACTTACAGACTTTGGAGGTAGTTCCTTACTGCTAACTCTATACTCAGTATCATTGCTGGTCCATACTTGACTCATTCTGCACGCGCTATTTTGCTTCTGGATCGAGCTTACGCCGTACAGCGTGTCGATTCTTAAGAACAAAGTCCTTCTGAGCTTGTCCGTATATAAAGTAGCGTTCTTGCTAAAATATTACCAAGACCAGAAGTAGTGTCTGCGAGTCGCGACGCGTCTTCTTAGCATGCCGGCTTGACCTGAGGAAATAGGACATCTACGCGAATCTAGCAAGTCGCATCAAGGTCAATCTGTGTCCTTAAAAAAAGTATAAAATCATGGGATCTACCTTATTGGGTGAAATTCTCGAGAAATATCCGAAAAGTACTGAACAACTAGATTAGGTATACGGGTTGGTCTTCAGCCTTAAGAAATGCCGTTATAGGCTGCTGCCTTGCAGCCTTAGGTTTGCAGTAACGCTTCCTAGGATTCGCATCTTATCAGAGACCGTTAATCGAGGAAGCCAGTCTTAAATCCAGGTTTAATGCTCTCTGAACTGAATACCTCTGCATTTATATCGACTGCTCGCCCTAGTCGAATCCAATTGCGGACGTGCGGACAGAGCGATTTCCCCGCCCGCCAGCTCGGCGACAGGCCGACCCCGCCAACATGACTCTTGCTAACCTTTCTCGAGCGTCTGCTCAGCTTCGAGCATTTTGATTACCTGTTCACCGAAGATCATTAATAATATTCTTCACAGAAGGAAGAAGCAGTAACAGCAGCATGCTCCGGTCTTCGCTGCTGCTGCGTCCTCTCCCAGTCGATCGGCCCGTGATGTCATTTTGAGTGCCAAATTCAATTGTTGCCCACTGCAGCCCACCACATCGATCGTCTTGACAATTGTCCTTCGTCCTGTTGAGCCAGGCGCCGGACCAATTCTCTGTTCATTCCAATTTCCCATTTGAAACAATGCCCCAGTTCACATGCTCGTTGACGGACCCGTAATGCAGGAAACGTGCTCGCTCCTACCTTGCGCAGGTTGACTCCCTACAGTCCGGATACTCCAGCAATAACGGGTGCAGGGAAACATCCCTGCGACGTGGGCAATGGCTTCAGAGGGCCCCTCAATCATGCCCGCCGCGACGGACCGGAACGAGACATTGCCTGATCCCGAGTTCCCGTCGAAGAGGACGACCACCCTCCTCGACCTTCCTGCAGAGCTCCTCCACCAGATTTTCTCCTACCTGCCCGCTACAGACCTGGCGTTCGTGTCGTCCACGTGTCGGACTCTCTTGGAGCACGGCAACAATGATCTCCTCTGGGCGGACCTGGTGAACGCGAACCTCCCGGTCAAGATCAAAGATCCTGGCCCCTTCGACTCCTTCCGCAGGCTCTACATCGCACACCATCCGTACTGGTTCGTTCCGCGAAATAAAATTTGGTTCTCGGACGATGAGCACACTGGGAAGCTGATCTTGGCGCGCTACGATAATCGGAGAGGCGTGATCGAGGGATTCCGTCTGGTCGCCGAAAAGGGACGAGAGCAGATCAGACAGTGGGAATGGGATCCCACCGTATTAATAGAAACGTTTACCCCCAAAGTCCGGCTCTGGCTCGACGATCCAGTTCTGCTCTTGAAGAACCCCACATGCGTCCGACCTCGCCAGCGTCAGTATGTCCATGGTGAGTTTCGCATGCCGATGGCTGCGGAGTCGCAAAACATCTACAGCTCCTTTTCGTTATGTTACGAGAACGTGCACGGGAATCATTCAGCGGCTCGCCTGGAGCAACTGTGGCCGCCGGTCAACATTCCGAGCGAGAACCGCGTGTATCGCTCCCGCGGTGTGGACGGTGCAGGGAATACGCAGTCTCATCTGGGGCCGGTTTCTGAATCAGCCTTTCGAGTCAGGAAATGGGCACATTTCCGGATAGGTATCCCGATCTTCCCGGCTGGCAGCCAGGAAAACCTATCGACGTTTGCTACTCTAGACCCAAAGCTCTACACGCCCACGAAGGAGAAACCCTACCAGGGAATATGGGTGGGTGATTATTCGTTTCACGGCTGCGAATTCCTCCTCTTCGTCCAGCGAGACAAGGCTCCGGCGTCAGGACAAGCCAGCAGCTCGTCAGCGTCTTCGGAGCAGGATGGCAACGCGGCCGGCAGTAACACAACTGAAGAGGACAAGGTCATCGAACAGGGCCGTCTAGAAGGGATCAAACTCACGGGCGATCCGAACGTGCCTCGCGGTGAAATCTCCTTTGTGGCGGAGGACATTGGACCCGATGGGTTGATCCGCATCGCGGAAGAACGCATCTTCCAAGGAGCCAGAATCGTACGCAGCAAGGGTCATATCGCATCCCGAAATTTCAGAAACGGTACGTACATACGTCTGGCAAGAATGTCGTTTCTGCAAGTTCTAACGCGTCCGTTCAGATCAGTTCATCGACGCCCAACTGATCCTCATCTCGCACGACTGCGTCGCCCAGTACTGGGAGGCTATGCACCACATATCTTTCTTCCGCCGGGTAGACATTGATCAGTTGCTGCGGAGCTGAAGTCATCAGCTACACTATACATTACCCCCAGCACCCCGACTTGAGTTATCCGAGACTTGAACAACATTCCTAGCCAGAGTCTCTTCTCTCTTAGCAACCTTTCCGCGAGAAGATTGCTTTGTCTGATGACCTATCTGATGGTTGTTCTTCCCTTCAAATGGTATTGTACTGTACAGACAGACAGACAGACAGGCAGACACGCATGCATAATGGCATTCTATTTCTAGGGTATATATTTTCCCTTCCCTTTTCCTTACCTTTTTTTTTTATCTTCTATTTTCCAGTCTTCATTCATTCCGGGATTCATCCTGTATTTTCCTTTCTTCTAGCAACGCGTCGATTGCATTACCTACTACCTAGTTAGTTACTAGGAGGATTGATTGAAGGAAAGAGAGGAGTTATCTTTTTTTTGCCAATAGGTTATTATTAGGTCATGAATACTAGAAACAAGAAACATGGAACGTGAAACATGAAACTGATAATATCAATTAATAAGAACGTGGGTTTTGCGAATATAGAGCGGTTCATTCAGAGGGTAAAAAAAATGATACTACTAGTACTCTGCAGTATTCATTCAGTATTCGTATAATATAACATAATTGTATTTTCTTGAAAACCAAAAATGGCTACACAATCATTCAATCAATCAATCAGAAAGTGGTGGTGGTAGTAGTATAGTAGAAGGGAGTTTCAACCACGATAAGAATTGACGACAGACACACATAACACAAAACAAAAAGCGCAGGGCTCCCAACGCCAGATTGCACAAGTCGTATCCTTATAATGGATGGTAATGATTCTGTACATAGAGAACAAGCAGTTTGGAAAGAAAAAGAAAGACATAAAAAAAAACCGACTTCCTTTTCCTGCCCTGACACTGCTATAATCCCTATCATCGCATCTTAGCCAGTCTTCAATCTTCTCGTAGAGGGTAGGTAGAGGTGTCGTCATCGTGTCGGGTTATCTCAGTGTGCACAGTACGTCGCGAGGGCTCGTCGGTGGAAACGAAACGAAACAGAAGAAAAAAAGCGGAGACGTGAAATGGTTCCTGACCATTCCGAAGTCAAATCAAGTCCAGTCCTGCGTGCGTATACATGTCATGGATGGATGAAGGATGAGATAGGGTTGGATTCTTCTTCCAGAAAAGAAAAGAAGAGAAAAAGGGCTCTGCTCTAACAAAAAACAACCATAACCGATCGATCAAATTTCGAGCCAGGAGAGAGAGAGAGAGAGGCCTGCCTGCCTGCCTACCCCTCTCAATCAACGCCGTCGCTCAAACCAGGGCGACGAGCCCAGAACCGCAACAGACTGGTCCATGATCCATTCGCCGACGCCGAGGTAGTTCTCAACCCATCGCTTAATGTCTTTGTTATCGGTGAGCTTGTCCGAGTTCAGACTGGGGCTGTGAACGGGTCCCATTTTTTTTATCTCTGCTCGCCTCGCTCCGTACGCATGCATGCCATGCCATGCCATGCATGCGATGCAGGCAGGTAGGCAAGCAGGCAGTACGGGCGGGCGAAAATGGGACGGTTCATGTTAGCGAATTCGTCTTTTGCTTTGCTATATTTTTCCTTTGATGTTTTGGAAGGGAGGGAGGAAGGGAGAGTTACGTGAGGCCGGTGGATCGCTTGATGCCGGCGAGAAAGGCGGAGACTATACAGAATAGAATGGTTAGCCAGGTCTTTATCATCTAGATATTTATCTGGAAACATACTCAGCACCGCGTCAAATGCGTAGTGGGTCAGTCGGCCGAGCTGTGAGAGAAACAGTCCTGTCAGCGATCGCGCGTCCTTGCACCGAGGTAGTAGTAGTAGTTGGGTAGAGGCGGAGATACCATGCTGGGCGGCGACTATCCAGTCTGCGCTGTTCAACTAATGTCGGAGAGAAAGTATGGAAAGGATATGTATGGCGTGGGAGTTGCGAAGAAAGCACTGATCCTTATTAACAGTCTGATGGTAAGGCTCGCAGGTATCAGTGATGCAGTCGTAATTAATATGGAGTAATAGCCTGGTCAGGTGTTGAACAGGCAGCATGACTGCAGCTATCATGTGATCAGCACCGAGTCCGCCACGTGATGCAGGCCGGGCGATGATCCGAATAGGAAATACCGCCAATTAGGGCTCCAGCGTAGGGCAAACACGGTCACGGGAAGATGTAATTTCGGAGGAACGATTCGCCGAGCACGCTTATCGATAAAGGACTCGCTTGCTCTGGCTGGACCAATCGTCGCGCTGCAATGCAAATGCAAATTGTGCCTTCAGAGCCGCTTCGAGAAAAAAATAGACATCTTGGCGCCAGGAGAGCAGATCCCTTTAGCCTTCGGCCGACTGCTAATTTTTTCTTTGTTTACGGAACTGCTAGAGTAGTCCGTAGGCCCTCCTGTAGTTATTAATATAGTTATTAATAATAATTATTATTATTCCAGAACTTTATCTGATATCTAGCAGTCACGTAGAGACTAGCACGCTACGAGAATTTATTCTACTAGGCCAAGTGTTATCGCCGTGCCCCTCGCTCTCCGGGTCCCGGCTTACGGCTGTCTCGGAGTCGGCACTCGTTTCCCACCAGGAACCCTCCCACGCTGGATGCCAGACAGCTGGTCACCTGCAAGTCGATCTGGCAACGTGCTGTTCTGCTTTCTGTAAAAAGCATTGATCAGCCTGCTGTGCTGCGT